GGTCCGCTGTAGTCGGAATACTTCCAAAATTTCCTTGCTTGTTTCGATGTCTTCGATTAGTTCCTCCGGCTGTAATTCCTCTGGGATTCCTGCTATTACTCCTTTGACGGTCACAAAACTCTTCGGAATGAAGGCTCTGAACCGCTTCAGACTCAGGTTTTGACAGTTTACTAGCCTGTTTGCTTCCTTCCATTCACTGAAGAGCACCATCACTTTTGCTCTTCCGATCTTCTTGATGTCCATCACTGCTTTCGCAAATCCGTTTTGTTTCAACATCATCCCCACCGTGATTTTGTTGATTCCGCTCAATCGTACGTTGTTCTCGGTTTCTTCTTGCATCTTCTCCACAATAACCTTGTACGGTCCACTGTCACACTGCTTGAAGTAAAATTTCTCGAACACTCTTTCCGTGTACTTTTCGCCATTTTGTTTTTTAATTGCACTGCCTAGATTGTTTGATCTTGTGTTTTCAATTGCGCCATTTTGTACTATCATCGGTGCCCCACCAGGGCACAGTGGTTGAAAAGTCCATTTTAACGCTTTTAATTAATAGCACCACGGAGAGTGAATTTAGAGTTATGACGTCTTGAGCAAGGTTGATGAGTATGACATGCTTCATCTTTTGAAGGCATGGGTTTTGTGATTAATCCCCCTAAAAGTGAATTGGAAAATTTATTTTTTCACAATGTCAAGATAAATGGTTGATGTCTTCAGCAAAGTTGTAGCAAAAATGATTACAAACAACTTTGTTGAAGACATAAAAGTCGTAAATTCCACTCAAATCGAGATAGAGAACGTTGTTTGAGGACGGACCCCCAAAAACACCTTTTTTATCAAAACATATATTTTCTTTAATTTTAGGTTTTCCCTATGTTCAACAAAGTTGATTGGTATACTAAAATACACATCTTTCTAGAACATACTATATCTGCATCATTTTAATAGGATGAGTAGTTGATAAATTTTCTTCTATTTTCCACATATTTTGGACTTGCGTATCTTTCTTAGGTGCAAGAAGGTGCAGATGAAATCAAATGCATCTAAAATTACATTAAAAGAGCTTTCAAATGGTGGTAAGCTTGTCCGTCCACGACCGTTTGCTGGAGAGTTGTGATCAAAACAAGTATCCATATCTTTACTCTGTTTTATGATATAACCAGTATAAAAAAGATAATCAACTTCAATATATCCACATATTTTTCCCAAATAAAAACTTTTTGTTCGATTGGTTTTGCATTTTTGTTGTCAATATTTTGTATTGTATTCAATTATCATCATTATTATCATAATCATAATCATAATCATTATCGTTTCCTTTAGCTTCTTCTGCTAGCAGCTTTTTGCATCACTCGACAATGGCTTCTCGTGCTTTTTAGGTCATCCATGAATGCTAGTAATCAATCCACTGATGATATTAGGAGCCAGTTCAATAAATCACGATTTGTTAGCGATCTTAATTGCTTGCGGGTATTGAACTCTCGGTATCTGTTAAATAAAAGTTTTATTAATGTATTCGTTGTTATTTTGGTTAAATGCATGTACCTCTGCCAATCCTTGTTCCTTGCCTCATGTGCTTACTCAGAAAGCTGACCGATTGGAACAAGGAAATGTTCAATCACCGCTGATCTATGTATCAATACTTTATGAATACTACACACTAAGATTATTTCACAGATTTTTGTAAAATTTTACCGAAATCTCAACAGCTGAACGTTCGGTAAAAAAGTTTTACAGTTTTCCTGTAATTTTTTACACATATCTGTGAAAAATTCACAGATATTTGTGAAAAACCACAGGCAATCTGTGAAACTGTTTACCGAACGTTCAGCTGTTGAGATTTCTGTAAAATTTTCTAAGTGTGTAGCTGGCAAGTAATACCAACAATCAATACGAAACTAACGATTTTAAATTGGCTCACTACTTGACTAGCCTATTGGTCCCAAGCAAACGATTAACGTACCCCATTCTAGTCAAAATTCTAGTACTACACAATGTTTGTTTTGATTCGCTATGGAAGTTTGACAGATAAAATGAGGGGTTAGTGGATTTTCCTATGTTTCGAGGGGTGAATCGATTAGCTTGGGACCGATGAGAGTACCAGAGCGAGCCAAAAAGTTGAGCACGTTATTTCGGGACCTTCTAGTCTTAGAGTTACCTCTATGGTAATACCAGGTTCGATAGGTTGGTGTCGATTAACAAAGCCAAAGCTTGTAGATCTGTGTATTCGGGTATAGGGTTGCTCAAGGACTTTTTCAAAGAATGAACCAACTTATTTTCATCTGCACCTAAGTCCAAAATATGTGGAAAATATTAAAATGATGCAGATATAAAATGTTCTAGAAAGATGTGTATTTTAGTATACCAATCAACTTTGTTGAACATAGTGAAGACCTAAAATTAAAGAAAATATATGTTTTGATAAAAAAGGTGTTTTTGGGGGTCCGTCCTCAAAAAACGCTCTCTATCTCGATTTGAGTGGAATTTACGACTTTTATGTCTTCAGCAAAGTTGTTTGTAACCATTTTTGCTACAACTTTGCTGAAGACATCAACCACTTATCTCGACATTGTGAAAAAATAAATTTTCCATTTCACTTTTAGGGGGATTAATCACAAAACCCATGCCTTCAAAAGATGAAGCATGTCATACTCATCAACTTTGCTCAAGACGTCATGACTCTAAATCCACTCTCCATGGTGCTATTAATTAAGAGCGTCAAAATGGACTTTTCAACCACTGTGCAGGGGCACCGCCACTTGCACTCATTTTCCTGTTCTAGGGCTTTTATTTTTTGTTCACTCCACTTGTAAATTAATATAGTATCACTTAGCTTGATAATTAACGTTTAGGATTTGTTTCAGGTTTTCAATTTGGAAAAATTCCGATTTCCTTTCACACTCTTCAAGAAAACGTCCGTTCCGTTCCGTAAGCGACGATTTGTCGTGCGAAGGATTTAAATGAATGACCTCCTCGCTTGCTTTTCCCCGAAAATAAAGATGACATCACCATGGCTTGTTCGGTCCTATTCGACCTCGAAGAGAAAAGCGAAAGCATTAAACAGAGGTCATCCTTTCTCTCATCCGTTCAACAGGTCACCGCCGTGCAGGCATAGTGAACTTCACCTCGAGCTTAACCTTCGTTAAATCTGTTCCTCCATGTCCAAAAATAAAACGGCTCGGAAAAAAGTGATTGTTTTGTTTTCTTCACCCTTACTTTTTCGGTGAATTCAGATAGCTTTTTGTCGTTATTCGTCGTCTGGGTTCCCGGTAGGCGATGCCCGGTTTCTTCTTGGAACTTCTCCACACGTGAGCAACTTGACCCACATCGCTGAAGAGAGCTCGAAGTTTAAAGTCAAGTGAATAAGTCGCAAATCTTTTTCTTTACCCTCTACTCCATCGTCTAATAATCCCGGAAGGCAATAAATTTTAAAAGCCGAGCCCAAATTGGTGCTGTATATATTTCTAGAGCAACAACTGGAAAGGGCCTATGTTCGAAATGTAACCAATGACTTTAAACTCATACAGGCAAACCTAAACCAGCATCTGGTAGAAATGTTCGCTCTATCAGATGGTAAAGTTAGTTACATTTGACTCACAGGCCCTTTTCACAGATTTCTCAAGATTTATGATTGAAAAAAAAAGGTTAGTTTTGAAACCGAACGGAAGAAAAATGCTTTCTCATCCCGTCGATGACCCAGCCGAGATTCACATTTGGGACACTCGGCAAAAGACTAATGAAACCGGATTTTTTTTTTTGGTAGAATTCTTGGTTCAGTCATGAGATTGAAGAAGTCATCAATTTGCATTTTGGAAATAACTCATTGATGAAGCTTGAGCGTGACTTCGTTTTTTTTTGCCTCAACAGCTGCAGCGCAGAAAAATGAGGAGAACAAAGAGCGAGAGTGTGAACTTGTGCGGTGACCTATTTGCGGATTTCATAGCGGGCGTTGCTCACTTGAGTGTTTGTTCTTTGCCTTGATCGCATTGGTCGGTCGGAGGAAACGAGGTTAGGAACACTCCCGGTGAAAGTTGAACCACGATCGGAGACCCAGAGAACAATATATTGTACGTGTCTTTCTCCATTCTCTCCTGCGTCTCTCGTTCGCCTTTCATCTCGGCTCGGATCATTCTCACGGAGACTTTTTAAGAGGTTCGTCGCTTGGCGGTGATGATTTTCCATTCAATTCATTCGCCCGCACATTCGACAGTTACGCGATCTTGAAGATGTAGGTATGCTTACTGGAGCGCATTCCCTAGTCACGAAAATCGACTCAAACCACCAGACCATACCGCGCTCTGCTGCTGTGGGCATGCTTGGCATGCACAGTTGTACACACCAACTGCTCATTTGGTAATAGCTTTTCACTCAGATGTTGAAATTTATTTTTCTTTAAAGTCATTGATAGATTAGCATCATAGTTTACTATAGATATGCGAAGATTAGGTAAAGCTTAAAATTTGAATCAACACTAACCAATTTAATACTTAAATTCCGAGATGTGCAGTGAGCATTTCTCACCTCATTTTTACAACGCAAAAACCAAAACAGTTTACTACTAGCATTAAAATCTACTTTTTTTTACATATCTATAACAAGCTTACACTCTATTCTATCTACTGCTTCAAAAAGAACTATGTTCCGTCAACTGTGTGCAAAGTTATTAGCAAATGAGCAGTTCGTAACCAAAACTGTGTATGCCAAGCATGGCTGTGGGATGCTCCTCAGAATGGCAAACGCTGGAACTGATTACGATGTTTTCTTTTTTACCAGCAGTGATTTCAACGCCGTAAGCAACGAACCTCTGCGAACGGAGCAAAGATGTGTGAGAAGCCGGGGAGATAGACGTGAAGAAAGAATTACTGTTATAAAAATACTTCTTTCTCCGTTTCGTTTCCTATCTACCAACCTGTTTCGGGAGCTGAAAGCCACGGGAAGAGCGCAACCCACAGAAGAGAGCGAGCTCGAGGAAGACTTCTTGAACGTCTTACGTGTCCGGGACGATTCAGTGCTGCGCTAGATCTTGATCGGTTCGAATCGGTTTGTTTTCCAGTGGTGAGGAGGACGTACAGTCGTGAGAGTGAATTCAATCTTCCGGGGATTTGCCCTCGTCATCAAAGAGCTCGAAAGCAGAAGGGCTTTTGAGGGCGTGACACCAAAAGGGAAAAGATGCTCCCTTGATTAATCTAAAATAAGAGTGAGCAAACATTGAGTGAATTTAGTTCAGGAAAAATACTCTAACAGCGAATCGATTAACACGTTTAGCCAGTTCCTAAGAACGTGACCTACTTAAGAAAAGAAAAAAGATGATGAAGATTAACGGTAAATACCTGTGCGTGATATCGTTGGTGATATTTTCGATTAGTGGCAGTGCTTATACGACGCAGCGATCGAACCTGAGGGATGATGAGGGCAGCCCGTTCCTGGATATGGCCTCGGAATTCCTGCAGTCGCTTGGAAATCAAAATGGAGGAGGCGGTGGTGGTGGTAGTGGTGGGGGCAATGCGGCAGCTGGACTGTCCGGAATCGCTTCCATGCTGTTGCCATTGATGGCCAATGCCAACGCCGGAGGATCGGGGAAATCGAACAACGATGGTGTTGGAGCGATACTTTCCGGGATCGGGAGCCTGCTGGCCGGTGCCAATGGTGGTAATGCCGGTGGAGGTGGTGGATTTGATCCCGCTCTCATTGGCAACGTGATTCAGATGTTTGCTGGAGCAAACGAGGAACAGCAACCGCAAAAACGATCGAACAAACGCCAGAAGCGTCAGCAGAGGAGCGATGAGGGCAACCCTCTTCTGGATACGGTCCTGAACGTTGCTCAAACGTGGTTAGCCAGTCAGAACAGTGTAGATCCTGATGAGGATCAGGGACCCCAACATCCGGGAATCAATGGTGACACGATTGCCAACCTGCTGCCTCTGGCCGTTCAGGCGTTCCAATCGTTCTCCGGACCGGAAATGGAGAAGACCCAAGAGAAACACAAGGATCACTCGTGGGTTCTTCCGCCGTTCCTGGAGCACATCCACGTCATGTGGGATCAGTTCACGCAGTCGGACCTGGCCGAAGCTCTCTGGGCCAAGACCGGTCTCGATACGGTGTTCAAGGGATTTGTGGGCCGCGATGGAAAGCTGGACTACGACAGGCTGTTCGATACGCTGCAGAATCAGTCCTTCCGGAGGAGGTGGATTAAGGCCGCTACCATCTACCTGGCCGAATGGGCCAACTACATTGCCAACCCGGAGGTCTACCAGAGGTGAGTGTATGGAGCGGTGAATTCGATCGGAATTGATGTTTGGTTTGTACAGCTGATCTGCGGGGAGAAACCAGTCGGCATTAGCCATGACTCATCATCGTTTGGGGCTGATGAAATAGAAAAAAGCGAACGCTTACGTCTGACGTGTAGATCAGGGTGTGTTTTGGGGAGTTCAAATCTAGACCAACCAATTGGAAGGTTGTTTTTTTTCGATGCGAAATGGAAGCATTTATTTGAAAATTTGGACATACCACTTAACACATTTTAATGTTTACCCTCATGATTGACCTATTTTGTTTAGAAGCTTTTTTTTTCGAAAATAACCGTTCATTTCCGACTGTGTCGGTGCCTCTGTGGATTTCAGATTGATCTGATTGTACACTTCCGAACATTCTTACACCTTGCTTTCGGGATTCGGGATTAGGAACGTGTTTTGAGGCTAGGGGTGGGCTCTTCAGTCTTGGTATGGATCTAATACTTCTTATGTTTTCTTTATCCGACGTTTCGATTCATTTAGGACCATGTTCAAGAGCTCAATGATTAATGTTTTTCTGTCAAATATTCCAAAATTGTATAAGGTTTTGCACCGTTGAAAAATCGTCTTTCTAGCAAAGATGTACTGTTTCTTATGGGAATTTTTGGTGTATCGAAAGGATATTACGAAGTTCGACATGTTTCACGCACAGTCTGACGTTTGCTTACGGATTTTACCATAGGAGTCGTTGTCAACGGCAATAGTCGTTGTTTCTTTTAACCAAAGTGACCGGTTCTACCTTAGAAACCATCAAGCCTTTCAGCAGTTTATGCCTGACATACACTGCCTATAATCGAAGACAACATACCATATTGAAAATTAGCACTCGGCTCTACTGGCACTTAGTGTCTAGTGTAAGTTGTGCAACGCCAGCGCCATCAGGTTGTCAAAAAAGGTTTTTATATGGGGAAGTCGCCGTTTGTCAGTGTGCCGCAGGTGTGCCACAGGTGTGCCGATTGTGCCGGTCATAGAGCAAGCTGCGATTTTTTGTAAAATATCCATCCCGGCAACCCGGTATTTCTGACACCTTGAATGTTTTGGTTGGAAGTCGCAAGGATAAATCGGATAAATTTTGGTGTTTTGTGTTCATAGGATAGTAAAAGTCCCGTGTTTTAGGGTTTTATAATGCTCTCAAAGGCAGACCAGAAGCCTAGCCTTTCGTGATGTGAAAAGCAGCGGTCTATCAGCACCCGGAAAGAGTTGGAACCGGTGGGGAACATTGTTGGAGACCGACTGGATGATGAATATGACTTATGTAGTTTGTTTTGTGTGAGTTGCAGCATTATTTGAAATAAGGGTACTAATGGGGTCTGATTAACTACCTCTTTCTCTTGAGCCCACTCTAGAACCTACTTTTCGTATTTAGATCTATAAGCGAACCAAGAAGTTAACTGCTGGTCTCAGTTCCTCTGGTGTATTCAACTAGAGGATGTTCCTGAATATACAGTAGACTGATGCAAAATTTGACTTTTTCGCTCCACAGTGCTTAAATGGTTTCAAATCGGGTCCTGATTAGCCTCCCAAAGTTACAACTCATTTGGTTAGAAACAGGCTTCGCACAAGCCATTTGAAGTTTACATGTAAATGACTATGGGATATCTCAACTTTTTGTTCATTATCATCTAGTCTTTTTCCATATTGAGCTGCGAAACAGTTCGATAGCCATTCTTATAGAAAATTTTCTCATCTACAACTTTGCTCAAGATCGTTTCTATGTAAAACGAGACAGGAAAAAGTTATTAATTATTTAAGAGATTGGTAAACTTATGACATGATCAAGCAGCTGCTCTGTAGGCAACACTGCATTTTGCAGTGTGACATAGTAGCCATGATTTTTGTGTCCTATTCAACGCCCAAGAAACACCAATGTTGCCTGCTGAGCAGTTGATTGAGCATGATCATAAGACATCAGCGCATTGAACCATTGATAACTTTCGATCCTTGCATTTAATCAAAAGCAAAGTTATAGCTGGGAAAATTTCCTACAAGTACAGTTGAAAGCTTTCGAAGCAGACCGATATGGTGAATTATTAGATAGACATGATCAAAAATCTTGGTTTTACCATAGTAATTCCCATACAAACTTCAAATCGTTTGTGCCATCTCAGTTTCTCACCAAATGGGTTCAAATTTTGAGAGGTTAGTCAGGATCCGATTTAAAATCGTATTAGTATTAGGGAGCGAAAATTTCAAATTTTGCATCACTCCAATATACAGTCAAACAGCACGTAATGTTGTGCACAACTTCAATGACAGTTTTCCAGCAGTGCTCCCATTTTATTTACAACAATCCAATGCCTACGAGATTGTGCCGAAGGTATGCCGATGGATGTGCCCAAGCTGTGCCAAATCTAATTTCAGCACAAAGTGCTGATGACCCCTTGGCTTAAGCACAGTTGGCGAAATGGACGAGACCCATGCAACAGTGGCCACTTTAGTTGGTAATTAATTCACTAGATGGCACCAAAGTACAAATGATGTTATTCAAGTGATAACTCAGTATCAAGACCAGATTGAAGTTTCATACCTTCAGCAAACTTGTTCAAATGGACGATACCCGTTCAGTAGTGAACAACTTAGGTAGCCAGAGTACAAATACAATTCTTCTGGTGATGACTCACCATCGAGGCCAGATAGAAGTATCTTGTCTGTAGCAAAGATGTTAAAATGGTCGATACCCGTTCAGAAGTGAAAAAATTAGTAGGGAATTTACTCACTAGGTGGTATCAAAGGAGAAATAACGTTCTTCTAGTGATAACTGCGCATCAAGACCAGGTAGACGTTTTGTATCTTTAGCGAAGTGGCTCAACAAATTGGTCGAAATTCACAGAAAAACATTCTTTAGAATGCATTGAATGCGCTCTTGGGATTCTTCTAAATCACTCTTAGATTGGTATTCTATAAAAACACTCTTTGGGTTGGAATTATTCTGAATATCTATTGGGATTCTCTGAAATTTATGTTGGGATTCTTCGAAATGTTTCTGGGGATTATTTATAATCTCTGTCTGAATGAGATTCTCTGAGTTGCTAATATTTTCTATATTTGTTCTTTGATTCTCCAGAAACACTCTGGGAATTTGCTGGAATTGTTAATTCTGCAAAAAAAATCTATAGATTCTATAGAATTCCATATAAGACTTGTCTCCACAACTCCTCGTGTCCATAGGAATTCACTGTTATTTGTATTGTTAATTACTTTATTAGATCAGGCTCAATTGAATGAACTTTACAGAGCCGAGGTTTTTTGTTCATTATACAATACAATTAAAAAAATAAATCTTAAAACTACAGTCAAGAAGTACAATACAAAAAACAACTTAGCGGAGGATCCAATAAGCCTTCTATTATTTATATATTTATTTATTTTGTTTTTCTTCATCGGACTTAACGTGTCTAAATGAAGCCTGATGGGGAAAAGCCTAGAAAATGCGTAAAAACCCCATATCTTTTCGAAATACATGAATCACAATAATACAATAAATTACAACGAACATTAATCAAGTCTATAGCATAAAAAAAATTATCCTCCTATGGCATAGAGTTGTCCGTGAATCAGGTAGAAGTCCTTGTCATGCAGTTGAACCGGAAACAAAAAATAAACAGGTAGCACAATCCTTCATGTGTACATTAAATGGACAGCTACTCACCTTCTCAGGAGTCTGCGTTGAATACGGTGACTAAAGGTTTCCGCCGCACAGTTAAAGTCGAAAAACTCGTAAAACTCGTTGAAACGCCCAGACATGAACCGTACTGGGTCATGCAAGCTGTAGTTCGCAGTACGAGGTCCAAGATGCAGGAAACTCCTCGACCGAAGAACTCGTTCGGGTGCGTAGATTTCGAATTCAGCCAAGATTCCTGGAGAGTCGATATCACCAATAAGTACTTTCGCTGTGAACACGGCCTGACTAATCATCCGCCTATGTTCTAGTGTTTCAAGACCCAGGAGTTGACAATGATCTTCGTACGGCGGAAGGTTCACAGGGTCATTCCAAGGAAGCGGACGAAAGGCATACCGAACAAATTTCCTTTGAACAGATTCAATCCTCGCTATCCAAACTGCTTGATACGGGCACCATACTACCGAGTTGAATTCCAAGATCGATCGCACTAGAGAGCAGTATAGAGCTTTTAGACAAGCAGGATCGCGAAACTCGTCAGCGATCTTGAAAATGAACCCGAGTTGCCTGTTAGCTTTCGCAACGATGCCCGAGTAATTAAGCTTGAATGTTAAGGCGCAGTCCAGCGTGATTCCTAGGTCACGAACATTGTCCACACGTTGCAGAAGTTGGTGATTTATCGTATAGTTGAATGCCACTGGTTTCAGCTTGCGATGAAATGAGATAATATTACATTTTTGTACATTCAACGTGAGATAGTTTCTTGAGCACCACTCTTCGAAAGTATCGATTAGGTGCTGAAGTCGCAAGCAATCGGCGAAGCTACGAACAATCACATAGATTTTCACATCATCCGCGTAGAACGATCGGCAACCAGTTGGGAGGATCAGTTCGGCCTCATTCACAAAAATCGAGAATAGCAATGGTCCCAAGTTGCTACCTTGAGGAACACCGGAGCTGTTTGTAAAATAGTCCGATTGCTCTGATCCGATTCTAACACAAAGTTCCCGATTGGTCAGATAGGACTTGAACCAACGAGTTAAACCCGAGGATACACCGAGTTTTTCATGTTTAGCTATAGCAGTATGGAGTGGTCAACTCGGTCGAATGCAGCCTTGAGATCTGTATATACAACGTCCACCTGCGCTCCAGCTTCCATACTCCGAAGACATAAAGAAATGAACGGAGCTAGATTTGTTGAAACTGATCTCTTGGGATAAAAACCGTGTTGGTCAGGAGAAATGTAATTTCTGCAGCTAGAGAATAATGCGTCGTTGATGATGATTTCAAACACTTTAGAGCAGGCACTGAGTGATGTGATCCCTCGGTAATTTTCGACGTTTCTCT